ATCACTATAATCATTATTGTTGTTGTTTATTGTTCTAATCATCATTTACATATGTATATATAGGAATAAATGTAAAATAAAATTTTTAATATATTTATTTAGCACTTAACATTAATATGGTATATATATAATAATAATTGGGTGACGTTTGCTAGTTAATTTAATAAAAATGTATGTATGTATGATCTGCATTTTTCATACATGTATGGAAATAAATTCATACGTTACATACATAGAGGTTCATACATTACATGTTTTCTGTATTACCGATTATAATATATTATCATTATTATTTTATTAATTATATATATATATATATAAGTGTAAAAAAAAATAAAAAAATGAAATTATTTACAAAAAATTTCAAGAATCTTGTTTTTTGAAAAAAAAAAACTGGGACTGGACACACCAAAAAAAAAATGTGGTTTTCACACGTGACCACCACTTAGTCTCAACTCTTAAAAAACAATTTTTTTTTTGCACCCAATCCCAACACAAACAAAAAAAAAAAATAATAATTTAAAGAAGTTATATGTCTGCAATGGTATCCAAATGCTTATATTTGTGGTCCTGATTATAAAATGAGGGATGTACATAGTCTTCCTTTGTGAATCCAATTCTTCTTTCATTTTCACAATCGTCAAATTTATGTCCAATTTCCCAGCAGTTAAAGCAGCGGTTTTGTGACAGTGATTCGGGAAAAATGTTCGTACATTCTAAATTTAAATAAAAAACTTTGTTTATTGTTTCATAAAAAATCAAAATAAACTATAAATAAATATTAAAAATAAATATTAACCATTTACTGAGTGACCATAATAACAACAGCCATAGCAGGCTTCAATATGTGTGTTGGTGGGCCACGGACTATTAATTTTTGATAATCGTGGATGACGATGTTTGTTATACAATGTGTGATGGTGATTACTAGCAGTGGGAGTACTTTCTTTTACAATTCGTAAGATTGATGAGGAGATATCCTTCATCACGCTGATTATTGGTTGGTGGATAGGTTTGTCTTTATTTGCTCGTTCATTACTCATATTATTAAAAATAATAAAAATATTTAATAAAAAAAAAATACTCATGCAACAAGATAATAATAATAATAATATAAATATTGTTATTGTTATATTGATTATAGTTGATAGCTATATTGTTATAGCTGTATATTATTATAGCTATCAATGTTTGAGCTATGTTATTGTTCGTTGTTATTGTTATGTTATTATAGCTATTATTATTATTATTATTATTATTACTAATTATTATTACAGCTATTATTATTACTATTATATGGGGCTTGCTGCAACAAAACCAGACAAAGTGAACATTGGTGTTACCAAAGATTTCAGGGATCAAAATTTAGTCATTTGTAATGTGATCATAATTAATATCCCATTTGTTATTTTAAGTGACATTTAGAATCATCCCTATATATATAAAAATAATAATATGAAGCTAATTTACATCAGATCTACTATGAAACCCAAGAATTATAGAAGGAATAAGGTGAAAAAATTGCTCCTTACATTTTCAAAATAAATGATACTCAGATGCTGGAAGCTTATCTAAGAAAAGAAAAGATTACTTATGAAATTTA